AAGAAAACTCTAGAACGCTCAAGAATTAACGGCAGTTTATGTCTCGTAAACCGGAAATGGAAATGGCTACAATTGAAAGTAAATTGGATAAAGAGAAAAGGAGAGTAAATGTTAAGAAGTGAGAGCACAGCGACACATTGAAAACAGAGAAAAGGTCAAATAACCACAACATACTACACGTACGCCCATACTCGCAGAAGGGTACATGGACGCCCGCGAGCGAAGCTACATATATGCACGAACGGTCACATACTCTCTGAAAAAAAAAACTATTGCACCGGTGAAAAGTGCACATCAAAGAAAAATCGGTAAGTATAAGCGTCCAGTTGCTTATTAACTTGACGAGTGGACGGAGTGATTCCGGAAGTGTCCGTCTATAAAACTCCGGTGTTAAAATTCTTCAGGTAACATCAATCAACATTAGTTGTATCATATATATATATATATATATATATATATATATATATATATATATGTGTGTCTGTATGTGTGTGTGTGTGTGTATGTGTGTATACACACACACACACACATATATATATATATTAATACAAATTTGTTTAATGTATATATATGTGTCTGTATGTGTGTGTGTTGTGTGTATGTGTGTGTATATATATACATACACACACACACACACATATATATTAATACAAATTTGATTAATGTATATATATGTGTCTGTATGTGTGTGTTGTGTGTATGTGTGTGTATATATATATATATATATTAACACAAATTTGATTAAACAAGAAACATATATTATTGAGTGCGTATACATGAGTCCTTTATATAGAGGAAGACAGGTTCACTTATCTTCCAGTTAACTTTGCTCCCCGGTCTTTTGAACAGAAGTAGAGGTTTACTTCTTGTTTCCTGTTTAAGATATGGTTTCCGCTTACTTCTCAATTTAATTTTCTCTTTACTTCCAACGAATCCGCATAAACTCTGGCATTTTATACTATTACGGTTATTTATTTATTTTAATTTATTTTTTTTTTACACTAAAGTCTTTTCCTTCTCTTTCTCCTCCAGTTGGCTCTTACGTCTTAGTGTCGTTATCGCCATGTTTGGGGTAAATTGATAATATATATATATATATATATATATATATATATATATATATATATAATAATAAATTTAATCATGTTCGGCAAAGATTTAATAAACATCTTGTATGAATTAATACATCGTAAAAAGCCGATATATAACGTTTTAAAAAACGCATTTCTGCTAAGGCTATATCGATCTAACAATGCAAAATATTGGCATTCATGAAAAAGACTTAAATCATTTGATTTCCTTTCCATCTCGATATCTTAATTCACACCCGGAATTATCTTCGAGTAAAGATTTGACTTCTCAGATTCTTGTTTTTCCCGATTCCAAGAAGAAAAAGAAAACTCCAGATCCCTAAAATCGATAAAACTTGAATTATATCCTTCTACGTGAAGATGAAAAAAAATCAAAGAAAATCGCAATATAGTGGTTTTTATTTCTTTCATTTCGTGTTAGGAATTCCCCAGAGTCTTTACAAAAAAGACATTAGTCCGCCATGTTCACTTGATTTTCAGTACAACGTTCATCCCCCCACTCCTCCGTTTGATTGAATCCAGGTGAATAAGCCTATCATCAATCATTCTTCTGATCTCTGATAAGACCAAATTTGTACGTGAAAGCATTAAGATCACAAGCTGTAATTATGATGCCGAATAAGGCAGAATTGATTTCCTTAACACCCCGGCACTATAGTTGGTGCCTACTATGCGGGGGTTAATCAGGCAGAGGGCATGGAAGAAATCAGCTGAGATAAACACACAAATTATTTGCAATGCTAGATATTTACTTTGGTTTGATTAGTAAGGCGAAATTACCGATGTTTAAGGCACCTAGTGATGATGTTCTTTACTCTGGTATTTATATTCGAAACGTGTATGAAAGCCACTGCATTGCAGAGAAATGTTAATATATCATATTGTAATATAAAAGGCCAAAAATGAAAGAGACTACGTAAACTAAAAACAATTCATAACTTTAGCTACTGCTGTCAGGCTACTTGTCTTCTAGGGGAAGCATTCAAGTTGTATATGGAGGGTGTTTACCAAATTAACCATTGAATCAAATGGAACATTTATTATTATTTGAGGAAGGTTTTCTGTTGTACTAGTGTTAACCAGGGAAAATTTAACGGTTTTCATATTTTAAATTTCTGATATACCTCAATTCTTCAGCTATTGTTTGAATAAGATCCTGACGAGTTCTACGACAATAAAATATCCGTAGAAACTCTTTTATGAAATCGTTAAATATTTGAGCGGAATAACTTTAAATATTGTAATAGCAATGATATATATGAATTCTGGTTGTTCTTTGAACAAGTAAAGCTATAAAAAGGAAAATATATGAAATTAGCAATTTTTTCCATTTCACTGGGACAGACTTTAAATACATCTACATTCTCTTCTTTTTTTTCATTTTATTTCACTGAAACCAAGTAGCGTCTTTGATATTCTTTTGTCTTTTCACGCATTCCAAACTGAATAGTTCGTTATTTATGAGGTATTATAAAGATACTTTAAACACTTCTATCTTTCTACTTTTCACTGAAAACAAGTAGGGTCTCTGAGAATTCTGTTGACTTTCCACGCGATCAAAATTTATTTATGAGCTACTGGCCAGGCTTAACGTTCGTGCAAAATAAAGAAAAAAGGGACAATCACAATTATAATAAGGTGCTTATTTATTTATTTATTTATTTATTTATAGCTATGTGATGTATATCCGGTCAGTGCTTGGAAATCAGTCTAGGAGAAAGAAATCTCTGAATTCAAATCCGTATATCTCCCTGGACCAAATAACGTGTTATCTTTGATAGCCAGAATCTACTCCTGACATGGAAACGGTAAAGACATAGAAAGCGAGAAGTTGGATATGGTAAAGGGCAGAATCTAAGGAAGATGATTTGTAGAGAATTGGTGCCATACAAAAGATCCCCCGTACTGGACAATGGATGATACGTAATTATTCCGAGAGGAACGGGAAGTGTGGAACACATAGAGTAGCACCTTGTGTCTCGTAATATATGATAGCTTCGTTATCCATTTTCTTCTTCTTCTTCTTCTTCTTCTTCTTCTTCTTCTTTTTAGGACGTTAGCGAGCGTTTTTGTTTTGTGCTTTGTAAGTCTTAATATATTTTGTCTTTTTATTATCTCTATCTATAAAAGGCAGGATGTGTGTGTGTGTGTGTGTGTGTGTGTGTGTGTGTGTGTGTGTGTGTGTGTGTGTGTAATGAATGCTCGGCCGCAATTTTCGACGGATTTGCACCAAAATTTACATGCACATGCTCCAAGTTAGCCAGAACCGACTTTGCATTTCCCAGCTACCATCGATAGTGGAAATAATCATGCTTTTACGGCAGTTTTCATGTAGCTTGCTGCCATTTTCTACTGGCCAGAGTGAGAGCCTATAGCTGGCTGCCACGAATAAGCAGGACGATTCTATTGGCCAGCGTGAGAACCAACAGCTGACTGATACGAATGTTACCTAGCATGCTAGCATGCAAAAAAAATCGATAACTGCATTCGTCACAAGTGGGAAAAATTTAAATCTGCATGGCACTTTACTCCAATTGGCTCATTCGCTTGCTTAAACTCAACGTTGATTCTGATTCCGCAGAACTGGTTTCGGTTTGAAAAAGTGTTTGTTAGGAGTCCTTTTTTTTTTTAAAGCTGATCGTTTTGTGTTCATTTTGTTTAGTTCTTTTTTCGTAACAGATTTAATGTTTAGTATAGAGCTTAGAAAAAATTCGCAGTGTGAGATAGGCAAGAAGTAAGGCATGTAGCAACATCAGCACGGCATAGGACACTCCTTTAAAGGCAAGGAAGGGAAAAAATATTTTAAGTCAAGTGATAGCGATTGCTGTCCGAGTCGTACGATTTTTGAATCAAGCACGGGCAACGCCGGGCCATGCTGCTAGTCTATTCTAAATGGCGTTCTGCTATTCATTTACACCTTCTTGTTATGTATGTTATGTATGGTTATCCTCTTTGCCACATGCCTTCAATCACTCCTGTGGGTATCAAATTTTCCAGTCCCTCGTTCCTCATAATGTACCCTAAAAATTTTAACGGCCTTTTTTCTTATGTATAGTTTTCCTTTTTGTTTCTAAAAATTCGTCGCTGCTCATATGTTATTGTAACCATCATTCTGTAGAATCATATTATAGTTTCTTCAAGCGTTTTTTTTTATTCATAGAGAGGTGATTGTCCAGCATTTACTGCTTTATAGGATGACTGATATTACCTAACAGATTACTACTGCAAAACAAGTTCTATATTCACTGTTTTCCCTATATCAATAGCCTTATGCCCAACTAAGATTAGTTTATTAAATAACAACGGACATCGTTCAAAGAACTAATCAATTTATTTCTGCTTGAACATGTTCGTAATGTTACGAACATTGAACAACCAATCGATAGTATAGGATCGAAAATTGGTGTCCATCTTTTGACGTAGCAAGGAGATTCAGCGTTAGAAACCATCAGTATCCCTTTGCAGGTATCGTGTAATTGAATCGATTAATTGATTGATCGACAATATGTTTGATTATATTTTGTAACTGTACAAGTAAAAGTTGCATTTTATCGAAATGTTTAGACGATATTTTTAAGAGTAGGTGGGGAAAAAAAATCGGAGCAAGGAGACCTAAACAAAAAAAAAAAGAAAAGAAAAGAAAAGACGAAGAGTAAAGAAGGAAATGAAAAGAATTATAGAAGAAGAACAACAAAAAAAGATAAATGAAAGAAAGGTGTAAGATGAAGGAGGAGTGAAAATGAAAAACAAGAAAACATGTTAGATTAACGAGGTTTAATAGGAAAGAAGAATAAAAAGGAAAATGAATTAAGAAGAATAGAAGTCAAGAATAAATGAAGAAGAATAAAAGGAAGAAGAATTTAAGAAGAAAAGGGAAGATGAAATTTAGAAGAACAAAAGGAAGAAAAATTAAGAAGAATATAAAAATGAAATAAGAAGAATAAAAAGAAAAAATAAGAAGAATAAAAAGGAAGAAAAAATTAAGAAAAATAAAAACGAAGAATAAATTAGGAAGAATAAAATGGAAAAAGAAATTGAGAAGAAGAAAAAGGAAGAAGAAATTAAGCAGAATAAAAAAGGAGAAATTAAGAAGAAGAAAAAGGAAGAATAAATTAAGCAGAATAAAAAGGAAGAAGAAATTAAGAAGAAAAAAAAGAAAAAGAAATTAAGAAGAAAAAGGAAGAAGAAATTAAAAAGAATAAAAAGGAAGAAGAAATTAAGAAGAATAAAAACGAAGAAGAAATGAAGAAGAATAGAAATTAAGAAGATATTAAAAATAATAAAAAAGGGAGAAATAATTAAGAAGAATAAAAAGGAAAAATAAATTAAAAAAAGAATAAAAAGGAAGAAGAAATTAAGAAGAATAAAACCGAAGAAGAAATTAAAAAGAATTAAAACGAAGAAGAAATTAGGAAGAATAGAAATTAAGAAGATATTAAAAATAATAAAAAAGGGAGAAATAATTAAGAAGAATAAAAGGAAGAATATATTAAGAAGAATTAAAAGAAGAATTAAGAAGAATAAAAAGAAATAAGAAATTAAAAATTCCTTTTTGGAAGAAGAAATTACGAAAAATAAAAAATGGAAAAATAAATTAAGAAGAATAGAATCAAGAAGATATTAAAAATAATAAAAAGAAAGAAAAATGAAGAAGAAGAAATATGAAGAAGTAATTAAGAGTAGAAAGAAAGAAAATATAAAAATGAATAAAAACAAGAAATTAAGAAAAATAAAAAGCAAAAAACAAGAAGAATGAAAAGTTGTCTGTAATTCTGGGATTTCCTTATCGCTATTTACATTATTTATATTCGGACTAATTATTGCACGCTGTTGTTTTCTGATGTGGGCCCAAAGTTGGGACCACGGAACGAAAACACGGAACAGGATTAGAGGTCAGAAAGAAAAATTAAAGAAAAAGGTTACAAAGACAGTGTAAGTGTAAGCGGAGATAACTATGTGCTAGTGTCCAATATTGGTAGTCGTACGCCGCGGCGGATACTACGGTATTAGAATACTCTCTCTCTCTCTCTCTCTCTCTCTCTCTCTCTCTCTCTCTCTCTCTCTCTCTCTCACACACACAATCTCTCTTTCTCTCTCTCTCTCACAATCTCTCTCTCTTTCTTTTTAGGGTGTTATATCGCATACTTTATATAGTCCTGGAAGAGTCCATGTTGTAGGTATGTTACGTTCTCACAACATTTTCATTGAGCCCAAGTACGCAATACTCGGTTCAGGTATTGAACGGATAATTATGATACGAAAACAGTGTGAACAATAACGTTGCATTACTAACAATAAAATCTAGACGATATCCCCCAAGACATTGGCAGTGGAACGAGAACTGTCTACCCCCGTAGATTAATGAAATCGTTTAGTTCGGAATTACCTCTAGCATATGCAAATCGATATATACGTGATGAACAGGGATTACAACGATTTGATAACAAAAGCAACAACAACAACAGAGATAAAACTTGTCCAAACGTAGATAATGTCAATAAGAATAGAAATGCTATGTAGATATATGCATTTACGCAATTTTACATGCATACGAGATTATATACACAAGTAAGTTCGTTCCGGAAACCGTTTTTAAATATATTAAATACAATTTACACGTTCTTGCCACAAGACAGTGATAATAATACGGCACAGGCTCAAGAAGATTTTCCTTTCTGGAGTTAACAGTTTGCAGTGTCATTTATTTATTCATTTTGTTCCACTGTGATCAGTACTCACTCTCCATCCCACAATTGTCTTTCATGATGACATTCAAGGCAGAATAAGGCAAAAGCTCGCCGGTTCTTTTAAAAGGGGGATGTTGATGTTACCCTCAGAAGTTAAAGAGACAATACCTACAAGGTAGAAAGTGATTTGAATTTAGAGATATCCTTCTCCGAGACGGGTGATGGTACCTGGAGGCCGTGCGATGCCCAGACTACATGGCCTCTCTTCTCGGTCTTACAGACAAGATCGAAAGGAATACAGGTCATTACAGTTGGGACAGTTCCTGGCTGCACTAGTTGCCGAAAGGTGTCGGTGTTGACAGCCAGCCGCCTTCGGGACTGACCGAGTTGCTGGAAAGTTGTCAGTTTTGACAGCATACCGCCTTCGGCGCTTCACTCCGGGATTTCTGTCTGGATTTCCTTCCGTAGCCTTTTCCGTGTTTTGCATATGAGCGTAAGGAAGCGGAAGTTTAGAAATAGTGCTTTACTTCACTTTGATGAATTTCCTTCTTGGCCTCTCGAAATGGTGAGACAGCATAAAAATAATGTTTCGATTGTCTGATTATCACATTTACAGAGAAGTATTATTTCTTAGTTATATCCTGGGTATTCATCCTTGTAAAGATCTTATTGTTTAATAAGGTTTTCGGGAATGATTAATGTATAGACGTTTCAAATTTGGCTGAGAATCCATCGGAAGCGATCCATATTCTAGAAATCTAGGTTAATAGCGTGAATACACTCGCTGTCGGGTTAGTCTTTTAGATTATTTCTCCCGGTTATTAGTCTGTGTGCCTTGTTTCCTCATGGCTCTCCACAATTTCCCTTCTTTTTAACTTCTGATAATTTTTGTCATTTTGTTATTTCTCCTAAACCCTGTTCCATCATCCATTTGTTCAAGCTTACTAAATATGTTATGGTTTGTCTTCGCCTATCTCTTTTGCCTTCAAGATGTCGTGTGAATATTATATTTTCCAAGCCCTTTTTCCTCAATATGCGCGCTAGAAATTTCCACTGAGCCTTCCTGGTTTACAGTTTTCTTTTTTTGTTTCATTTTCTCTAAAACTTCATTGTTGCTCACATGGTATACTCAGCCTCCTTCTGTAGAACCCGATTTCCAAATTGTTCAGCTGAATATATGAATATGAAGAAGGCGGTACTTCATCAAACCCTACAGACTGGTGCCAGAAAAGCCCCACTGAAGAACTTCAGCAAATAAAGAAAAAATGCATTACTTGTACAATTTGAAAGGTAGTAATCATAAAAACGATTATAATGCGTAATAGGCCAAATGTAAAATAATATAATGACGCTTACGGTGACATCACGTTGAAAAACTGGTTCTCGTACGATCACAGAAGTTAAGCAACGTCAACACTGGTTAGTAAGTAGATGGGTGACCACTTGGGAATATCAGGTGCTGTAATCTTGGACGCACAAGTAGGATAATGGTTCGGAATTATTAATCGTAGAGAACCGAGTTTCAATTCATGTTGGTTTCGTTATATTGACTCACGCGCAATTATCCTTGGGAAATCTATAAATGTAACTCTCCCTCCCCAACATTTATCTGATGATTAGTAAGAATTGCATAATTAACCCATTATTATATTAAAATATATTCATACAATCGAAAAATATAATCTGGCTTTAAATAACCTGCAATGGGTTGATAACCCGTAGAAAATGAATCAAAAGTTTTGAGAGGAAAGGTCCATTCGTGCAAGAAAAAAACTATAACCTTCAGTGGATTTGAGAATTATATTTTATTGTAGATGTCTTAAGATTTTTTTTTATATAAATTTCAACCGACATTAGCACTAACCGAATGGTTTAATATCTACAATTAGGCGAGGATTACATGAAATATATATGTTTATATAGTAATATAAGGATTAATACCAATGATTCCAAGGCCGAAAAAGGTTTCTGATAACGGATATAGCTGTTGTAGCAAGTAAATAGTATTTTTTTAAATTATTCCACCTCAATCAAGACAGCACAAACCACTAAGACACAAGGGGTTACTGATTGCGAAAGGATAAGAGAAAAATATACATTATTAAGGAGCGAGAACAATAAAGAAGAGTAATCAGGAAGACAGTCGATAACGAAAGACTTTGTCTTAAAATTTGTGAAGATCAAAGTTGGTTGGAAAGTCTGGAGTTGGAAGACGCAATAGGTTTGAGAGAAGAAAATGTTTACATAGAACTTACGGCTGCATCTAGTCAGTTCAAATGTAAATTGTGGCCTTTTTGTCAATCTCGTACTGCGCTGATACTCATAAATTCTGGATACCATAGCGGAATGTTCATCAGAACAATTGCTATGAAATTATAGATAAAAAGGCACAGGGAAGCTAATTGAAGACGGTGGGAAAGTGATTTAATCCGAAATACAAGGTGAAGACCAACAATATTGTGTATTCTTCGTTAGATTCTATTAAGAATCTGTAAATATATAGCAGGAACCCCGGACCATATGTGGCAGCATTATTAAAAGCATGGACGAATAACAAATTTATAAATATGACAGACAGCTTTGTGTTTTCGCATCTCAATTATACAGAAGATGGGTATTGCCAAAATAACGTTTTATTCTAGAGGTATCGTATCTAAAGTTTGATAAACCGTAAAACAAACTAGACTCTAGATTGTGTGAAGCCTGTCAGTGTAACCCGCCATTTCTGGAAGCAAGAAAAAAATTGATCCTTGATTTCACTTGTAGAAAATATGTTGTAAAACAAAAGCTGACAGAAGAATTCGCCTATAGGCTTGTGGATTTCAGAATATATGAAAAGGATTTATATATATATATATTTGCTCAACCATTTGAAACGGCAGCTGAATACAGTGCTGACTGCTACCAAACGGAACTTATTGATTTGCATTCACATATGGACTTGAAGAGAGAATAGGGTGAAAATGATTTGGCGACATTTTATTCAAAGTATATTCAAAATATAAAGGTTGAGGGAGGTACGATGGAGTAATAGATAGCGGCTAGGATTGAGGAATCGAGTTCGAATTCTAGTTGAATTTATTACATTAACTTGCGAGATAACATCCTTAGGAAAGCCATGAATCCTCTTCTTCTCCGGCCAGCTATGGGTAAATAGAAAGGAGAGATCGGGTTCTCTACCGCAGAAAGAAACGGTAACCTAAATGGCAAAAACATTGCCTCGTCAGTCATGTATCACGCATGATTGATATAGCTGGGAAATATACAAATTTGACACAACGTGCCATTACAATGATCGCTCTTTTCGGAAGCACATACTCCTGTGAACAGTTTTCTAGTATACAAAATCCAAATGCCGAATTTAGCTTACTGGTGATAATTTGACGAGTTATCTACATGTTACCACTACATTTATAAAAGCTGACATTATAAAATTTTGCGAAGACAAAAATCATCAAGTGTCACCTTAATAAAATTATGTATTTTCATGCTTGTTTATTTACTAAAAATGTGAAAATGCATCTATACAAGTAGTTATAATCAGTCTTTTTAAGTGGCCCTCCAAGAATATATGTTGAAATCTCCTGGTCTGCTAGCCACTTTTGCATGTTAACGATATACGTGATAATATGACGAAGTAAATATTTTCTAATTTTTCTTTAAAATCGAACGACCCTCTCCTTTATTAAAGGAATCCTATCTGGCCGCTGTGTAATGAAAACTATTCTTTTTCATTTTCACCCAACGCTATTTACAAGGCGAGTCACTTCCACCGAGTGCATTCCAATTACATTAGTGTGAATGTCTATCGATCTATCTCCACGGGAAACTTTGGAAAACAACTTGCGCATCGTCAGTGTCATTATTTCCGACAATGGTTTTGACGTCAGCGGTCAGTGTTCGAATTCACCAACAGTGCGAATTTCGAAAATAGAAACAGAAAACAGCTGGGCCAACTAAGATTCCTAAAAGTAAAATAGAATTAACCAAGGTTTCAAGTGAACACAAACTGCCAACTACCAGACAATTGTGATCATCGACTATGGAAAAAAGTTCCTTAGATTTATTCGTGGAAACCTATTTTACTTATATTAATTTTCGATTATAACATTTACATTATGTCTAATTCTATCTATATTCATTGGTATGATATTTATCATATATTAGCCAAAGTACAAGTGTCACACTTACTTTTTGTTTGAAAATGATGACTGATTCTAAATCCTTGTTTTAATTTGTGGAGAAAAATGATACATTCTAATATTCCTAAATAATATTGCCGATGTTATCTCTAACTTCTGGTCTTCCCCTTCTATATTTTGGATAGGAATCATTATTTTGTTCAAACTTAAATTTAATTTAAATCGAAGGGAAAACAATTTTAGTGCGGTGTTTGTGACCCCGGGACCCTGTTGATCAAAATTATCTTGACGATGCTGTCTCCATTTTCTGGCTTTCTCCTATATTTTGAATAGGAGTCATTCTCTTGCTTGAATTTAAATTTAATTTAAATCAAAAGGAAAAAATTATCAGTAGAGGGGTTTGTGAACCCCACTTCCTTTCATCAAAACGAAATATACTTATCAAAGTATACTCGGAGTCATTCCCTTCTTCAAATTAAATTTAATTTATATCAAAGGGAAAAAACTAATTGATTTTTTTTTGCTTTCCCATTCTCAAGGACCACCTTTGATCAAAATAAAATATACTTATTCAACTACCATGTGTAATGTAGTTTCAGAATATACATGGATCCGTGGGTCTATCTCTAAAACCTAGAAGGAGTACCATAACAAACAGAGGTTAAAACTTTATATATATATATTTCTCAAATATATATATCCTCACATTTCTTCAAATATTTAAGCATATCTCTTGATGGGACAGCACTGAAAAAATTACCTTTTGACACAATGAAAAGTAGTCTGTCTGCAGCATATATAACAGTGTTAATTTCTTTTTCCCTCAAAATAACTCAAAATATAGCCATTAAAAGCTAAATCCCTGGCAACAAAAGTGAGTACACCCCTAAGAAACTACACCCCCAAATGTCTTTATTGAGTACTGCTTTTCATTTTCCCTCCAAAATGTCATGTGACACATTAGTGTAACTATGCCCATGTGTTCATGGGGAGCAGGTGTATTCAAATTTGTAGTGCAGCTCTAACACTCTCTCTTACCGGTCACTGAAAGTTCCATCATGGCACCACATGGCAAAGAACTCTCTGAGGATCTTAAAAAACGTATTGTTGCACTACATAAAGATGGCCAAGGCTACAAGAAGATTGCCAACACCCTGAAACTGAGCTGCTACTGATCATCCAGCATTTTAAAAGAGCAGGGTCCACTCAGAACAGGCCTCGGGTAGGTCGTTCAAAGAAGCTGAGCGCACGTGCTGAGCGTCACATCCAAATGCTTTCTTTGAAAGATCGGCGTAGGAGTGCTATTAGCATTGCTGCAGAGATTAAAGAGATTGGGATTCAGCCTGTTAGTGTTCAGACCATACGCCGCACACTACATCTGATCTGAAGGCAATACACAAGAAAGCCGGCAACCAGTTTGCTGAAGACATGTCAACAAAGCCCATAGATTACTGGAACCATGTCCTATGATCTGATAGGACGAAATTTAATTTGTTTTGTTCTGATGGCCTTAAGTGTGGCGGCGACCAGGTGAGGAGTACAAAGATAAGTGTGTCATGCCTACAGTCAAGCATGGTGGTGGGAATGTCATGGTCTGGGGCTGCATGAGTGCTGCAGGTATTGGAGAGTTATATTTCATTGAGAGAAACATGAACTCCAACATGTACTGTGAAATACTGCAGCAGAGCATGATCCCCTCCCTCCAGAAACTGGGTCGCAGAGCAGTGTTCCAGCATGACAATGACCCCAAACACACATCCAAGACAACCACTGCTTTACTGAAGAGGCTGGGGGTAAAGGTGATGGACCAAGCATGTCTCCAGACTTGAACCCAATAGAACATCTTTGGGTCATCCTCAAGCAGAAGGTGGAGGCGTGCAGAGTCTCAAATATCCACCAGCTCCGCGACGTCGTCATTGAGGAGTGGAAGAGCATTCCAGTGACTACCTGTGAAGTTCTGGTAAACTCAATGCCCAGGAGAGTAACGGCAGTTTTTGATAATGATGGTGGTCACACAGAATATTGACAGTTGACATATTGTATGTTAATATTGACAACTTTTCCTAAGGGGTGTACTCACATTTGCTGCCAGGGATTTAGCTTTTGATGGCTATATTTTGAGTTATTTTGAGGGAAAAATAAACTCTGTTATATATGCTGCAGACAGGCTACTTTTCCTTGTGTCAAAGTGTCATTTTGTCAGTGTTGTCCCATGAAGAGATATACTTAAATATTTGAAGAAATGTGAGGGGTATACTCATTTTTTGATACACTTTATATATACATACATATATATATATATATATATATATATATATATATAT